AGCTGGTTCCAATAATAAAATATGAAGATTTCAGAAGACGTTCAGAGGTTTGAAACCAAGTATTCTCCTACAATGGAGGCAGCTGTTTTTGAATGGGTATGCTGTACAGACTACAATGGGCTCTTCTCAGGTATTTCTTGCCCTAGTGAAGTGCAAAAAAGTCAGGATTAGCTCTTTGCTTTTGGAAAATGAAGCACTGGAGAAGAAGTAAGTGGAAGCCAGGAAACACACTGATGAGCGCCACATTAGGGATGACTTACAGGCAGCATAGATCTCAGAACTGCCCCACCAGGATCAACTGATCAATAGAAAATATGAAATGACAATCTATGGAATAAGACTGAGAGTCATGAGTTCATTAAGAAATTAGAAGAGACTACAAAGGTTAAGTGACATGATGAACTTGGAACAGCAAAGATTCCTGAATGTAAATGTGGCTAGGAGTACCAACAGGAGGCTAAAAATGAAATGAGCCCGTGAAGGATTATGAAAAGGACTTTGGGCCGAACAGAGGATGCCCTTGAGGGACCCCCCCCCCAAGAAAAACAGAGCAAGAAGTAATTATTTCACCAGGGAGGACTGGTTATGATCACTTCTGATACTTTTTAATCTGGTGCTAAAGTGTTGGTGAGTTGTTACATATCTATAGCTGGATGGTATCCCAGAATACAGTGGGCAGTCCCCCCCCCCCCAATCTTCCCATTGGGGAATAAGGATGGAAAATGTGTATGGAAGTACTTTACGTTTGAGCAAGTCTGTCCTCTCCTAACCAATTGCTAGAATGACTGTAAATAGAAGTGTGGCTAAATGCTGAGCTGATATACGTTTTACCAGTTGGTATTTCATAGCTGTATGACATCCCATAGGTGCTAAGATATGAGCATGAAATCACTAGAAACAGCCTCATGTTCTGCTAGAAGTCATACGTCTAGGTGCCATGAGCAGTCTCCTTCAAGTCTTCTCCAGCAAAGGAAACCACAAAATTGTGATAAGGGGCAACAGACGTGTCCCTTGCAAATAAGCATTCCTCATACAAATCTGGCAACTCCACAACGCTTCTGCAGCCAGCTTCCTGGAGATTTGACACTGCCGACTTGGCTGACTCTGTGTTCCAAAACCTGCTTCCTACTTCGCCTTTAGCCTGCTTGCTGCAATAAGAAGTCCCAGTTTTACACTTTGCTCATGTTCCTAGCTCTTCTCACTCATTCCAGACCACTTGCTTGAAAGCCTGCCACAAAACCAAGAGTACACAAGTATAATCCTGCTTGAGCTTCTGCCCCGTGGCCATGATTCTCCCAAGGTACCTTCTAGTACTGACCATTTTTGATATAAACTTAATAGCAAAAGGGATATGCCTAAATTGATTGATTGATATCTAAAACTCCATGGTATGTTCATGTAGCTTCCCTCAAAGTAGTCCCAGAATTATTGTGCAGGGGAACTAGCTGTGATCAACAAATTAAATTGGTTTGAAATTTAAGTGAAAAACAATATAACATATAGACACAAATTTTAAACCCACAGAAGTCTATTCTTCCAACTCTCCCAATTTTATTTGACCTTTGGCACCTGCTCCTCACTCTGATTTCCTGTGCTCATAATCAATTAACAAGTATTTTTAGCATGGATGAAGTAGGGTATTGATGCATTAAGTCAAAGGAACGGATCAGTGGTGAAACGGCAGTGTATCCATTTCCAAGCCTTACATATTGGTATCTGGCAAATATACACTGCTGTTGAGACAGTGAAAAGGTTAATGGTTTTTAAAACTGCCATAGTTTTACTTCAAAGGCTTTTATTTTTACATTGTTGAGAGCAGAAAACATTTTTTTGCCCTCATGCCTGCATACTTTCTGCTGAGTGGAGATGCTTTTATGGAAGGATTTTTTTAAAAAAAGTCTAACATTTAGACAAAGCAAGAAATACACCTGTCCCAACTCATTTGCTGAATCCCCCCCCAGTTTTTCCTCTTTATCCCCACTGATCTGGAACCCCAACCAGTTTCCAACACCCATCATACTATTAGCATATTAAAAACACTATCCAACACTTACAATAATTGCAAATTAAAAATATTTAAGGTCACTTTTTAAAGCTATCCAACAGTTCACTGAAATGAAAATGTTTGCCTTACTCCTGGGGGGGGGAACACCTAAATGATTTAGCTTAGGTGGACCCTTCTTGTGAAGAAAGGGGGGTGGGTCACAGAAAGGTCTGCCCATCAGATCATGGGTTTGATTTGCAATATGCATTATGGAAGCCAGAATGGGCTGGACTAGGGCACAGAGCAATCCAGGTTCAAACATCCTTTGGACCATGAAGCTTGCTGGCTAAACCTTGGGTTCGTTATTTCTCTTAGCTCTAACTCCCCAACAGGCTGGTTGTGATGCTGAAATGGAGGGTGGAAGGATCATGTACACCCTCTCAAACTCCTTGGAGGAAAAGCAGCACAAAAATATAATGGATAGAGGCACCAGGGCAGGCTCTTGACTGTTATGGTACTCCTTAATTTATGACAAGCCTGATTCTGCATGTTTGTACCAAAATGATCAATTGTAGAATTAAGATTACATCTGTTAGCTCAGCTTCTCTAACCATGCCAGCTAGAGCTTGGGACATGGCTGGAAGGGAAGGCGCAGCCATTAGCTGCCTATATAACCCTTTAAGCTCATGCTGTCTCTTCCCTGTGCCATACATACAACTGCCATACCCTCCCCAGGCTAGTCCGATCTCATCAGGTCTCAGAAAATATGCCGGATCGGACCTAATTAGTATTTGGGTCTGATCTCATCAGATCTCAGAAAATAAGCAGGATCGGCCGTAATTAGTATTTGGATGGGAGACCACTAAGGAAGTCCAGGATCATTACTCAGAGACAGGCTATCGCAAACTACTTCTGACTGTGTCTTGCCTTGAGAACCCCATGGGATTACCACAAGTCAGCTGTGAGTTGATGGCAACCCCACCCCCAAATCCCCAAACCCCTCCATGCTCTCAACTGGGTCCTCGGGAGATCTATGGAAGGGAAGATACCCACACCTTCATAAGCTTAGTTCCCTATGTCTGCTACCCATATGCTTTTAAGCATTAACAGTAAAGCTATCTGAGCGAAACATTTGACTTCTACTTAATCTGGAAATAGTTATGTTGAGATGTTTCAAACAATAGTATATACTGTTTTTACTATATCTAATATAGAACTGAGATTATAACACCGGAGAGATGAACCTCTAAACATTACACCATTTCAAATGCTATTTTTTAATTGACATACGGTATTTCCCCCTCTGTACCGTGAAGCATGGAATATGAATTGATACGTTTTATATCATCACTTAACCATAGCCAGTTATATAACAAGCAAAGTTTATCGATGCAACATAATTAGAAACTCCTAACTCTCCCACATAATCATTCTTGCACCCTCAAGTATCGTTTCAGAAATCATGTTTATATGGAAATTACTCATTTTTCTTCTGACTGATATGTCAGCTCTTCTTGCTCACCCACCCCACAAAAAACAACAATACCCCAACACAAATGTAGCCCATTTCCTCTGAAAAAGCAATTTTAAAAGGTGAAGGTGATATAAAGGGACAGAATTAACTGAAATGGAAAAAGTCAAGTTTATGTTTGGTGAAAAACAATCTGTTGTTCCTGTGAATGTCCAGCTGTTTTGAACAGCAGGATTTTACACTATTGCTTTCGTAAAATACAGAGCAACAAATGTAATTACAATTCTTCAACAGAACTAAAACAACATTAAAGGAAATAGGTGAATGCTTAACTGTAATATACCAATAGATGCATTTACTATGATTGCTGCTGTTTTATATTTTCTGAAGACTTTTCTTAGTATAATAAAGTGACAGCAGATACTTATAGCACTACTTGGGGGGGGGGGGGGGAGAAAGATCGCTTCCATACATTTCTTTGAACACATTCTGTCCTTTCTTAGTACTCTCCAAAGCAAAGTTGCTGTTGTAACCACCAAAACTTTGGATTAAAAGATGCCAAAAGGCTTGATCATTTCAAGCAGAAATTGGTTTTGTGTGCCAAAAAAACTAGTACTCCAACTAATAATAAGCTTGCATTTGTTTCCCTTGGTCATTGCCCCTCCCTTTGTCTTCCAAAAGTTTATGAATAAATTTCCATCTCCAAGCCAAGATACACCTCCTTGGTCTTACTAGAGAGGTAATCCTACAGAAGATGACTTATATTGATCTCCTTATTGATGGCTACTGCCTTTGATCTTAACTCCAGGAGCACCAACATGATAGCTTTAACTATATAAATCTTTTAATTCAGTTCAGATGTGCAATATGGCTACTTGAATAACCCATTATAGTTGGAGATACATATTTATTTTAAGCAACAGAAATGCCAGAACTGCCAGTTACGTGGACTTCACTTGCTTCGTTCTTAGATTTTTATTTTCAGCCCAGAGGCACACTTTCTATTTTCTCCCTTCTGTCCTCATCGACTTATTCCTTACTTCACAGCAGTGTATGAAAAATAAGCTCAACTGAACTTGTAGCATCTCTAGGCACCTTAAGTCAATTTGCATACAATAATGTTGCAATGCAAAAACAGTCCTCTCCTTTTCCCATGAAAGGCTCACTCTGTCCAATCATTCTGCCCTGCATAAAGGATACTGAGCTGGCGTGAACTTGCATTTGATCTCTATTTCCTTGTTGATTTTACAAAGCAATCACTTACTGATGGTTTCCATAGGAACAAGTGAGCTTATTTTTAATTCTTATGATCTTTCCTTCAACTAATAATATAGATACTGTAGCATAAAAGCAGAGGAAAAAAATCTACATGTGCTGTTCTTGAGCAATTTATTCACTGCAGAAGAAAGTAAAGCATAGTTTTCAATCAAACCAGGAGACATTTTCATCCTCCGTGATCCTCCTCGATGATCTAATTTTATATATTTATAAATGTATACAGACTGTCTCTGTCACAGGCATTAAAAATGAGTGATGGCTACTTACATCTTTGGTTTCTGCGCTTGCTCTTGTACATTGTCATTCTGAAGAAACCCTGCTATCCAAGAAGCTATTCTGTATACCCAGACAAAAGAGACAAGACCGTGCTTCCGCTCTGCAGCCAGACAGTTGCTCACTGACAGAAGGTAACCAGCAGTCTCTCTCACTGAAAGCGAGGGTAATACCATTCTCATCATATCCTGGGGAGATATGGCTAGCTCTGTTTCCTCAAAGGCAAAGCTGGGGACAGAACAAACCTTCTCCAGTTCTTGCAACATTTCAGCTCCTGTCCTGAAACACCTATTTAAAGGTCACCAATTGAGGAATGTTTCTTTAAGGAGGTAAGTATGTGTTGTTTTCTGGAAGGACCTCAACAAATTTTTTCCTTGAAATGCAGAGTACTTAAGTAAACATCTGTGTAATTTAAAACAATGGCTTATTCACAGAGATGCCGTAGTAAAATATATTCAAAAGAAACTGAAATTGTATCAACCAAGGTGTCTTCCTACTGTGGACAATAAGCTCCAAATGACTTACTCAGGTAGGACTTCCTTTCACATATGCCGAACTGCTGATCGTGCGTAATTCAATATGAATAAATTGATTTAAATTAATGGGAAATATTGCTGTTCTGTTAATTCTGTTTTTCCCATTTGGCTCTAAGGTTCAGACGTTCAAGTTGACTAATTAAGAAATTTTTAATGCCATAGCTTGCTCCCACTGTTTCCTTCTTAGCTTCTATTAAAAGGCAAATTGTGTTACCAACAATTTACTTATCTATCTACAGTGGTAGTTCAGGCTTAGTACAGACATTGATAGTCCTGGTAATTTACATGCACAATTTGCCTGTATTGGGTTTTCCTTCCCAAATAATAGGGCTGAAGCAGAGTAGAAACTAAGAAACCTGCATATTCTATACAATGTTTTTAGAATGTGGAATGAAATGCCTACAGATCTCTGTGCCACACCACGTGAAGGGAGTTAAGAGGCCCACTAATATTTGAATGGTCCCTTCTTGCTTTACACTGATCACAACTAATATCTATACAATTTCTGTGTTCACAGAGTATCAGAATGAGGAATGGCTTGTATCAACTTTAATATGAACAGCAACTTGACATCTTGTACAGCAGTCTGTAAAGCTGTTCTTGAGCAAAGTAAGATCATGTGATCTCAGGACAAGTCCACAAATTACCGATTCCTTAACATTGTAAAATACATGAATGTATTTAAATTACAAGTTCTATGACTTCAGTGTCTAAAATTTGCCTAATACACGATTTGCATCACATCTGTGCATGAAATTGCACCTCCACAGTGTAGCTTAGAATCCCCTTGAGGAGGGGGAGTTTGTTTTGGATAGAAGTCCCAGTATCTCAGGATGAGGTGCATGAGAACTCAGCAGCTTTAGCATGCTCAGAGTAACCTAAAAGAGCAGTGATCACATTACTCATGTCACTGGAGGCTCAGTCAAATTAGCCAGGCAATCTGGTAATTTGCAGTTCACTTCTGGCCCTCACTAATGGCAATTTAGCCTGCACACCCATGTTACATGAGCAACAAAAAACCATCATGCTTTTTTGTTTTATTAAGTATGACACAATTTGAATACAAGTAAATGAAACTTTTGTCTTCTTATTCGCTTTCATTCAGGAAGATGATTCAATCCTAGGTAAAAAAGCAAAGTCTACTTCAGATCATGGAACTTTGAAGCCAAACTCTACAATTAATCCAGTATTTCCACCAGTCTTGCATTTAAGTTATTAAGGGTTTAGAAGTAAGTGATTAAAGGGGAACAAATTAAAAGTATTTAAATAGTCTTGAGATTGAATTTTGATTAGGGAGTTTTCTTGATGTTGTTATGGTAACAAAGAGATTAGCTTTTATCCTAAAACTGGCAAATTAGTTTCTCCTTTACATTACAGTTCTGAAAGATAACGTCAAAACTTAATTAACAGGACAATGGAAATGCAACCCACTTTGAGCAGTTGTCCTCCCCCCCCCCAGCTAAAATGGGCCATGTTATTGCAAGTATAGTGCTTAACAGACATAGAGCCCACAAGGACTGTGCTTTGTAGACAAGTTTAATTCCCCATCAACTCTTCTTAGCCTTGAAAATATGGCCTAAGATAATGGAAAATATGGCCTAAGATAATGGAAACAGCAAATAAAAGTCTTATTCCCTATACCACCTGTCTCTGTAGGACGACTAGGAGACTATGAACTATCAGTTCTTCACACTTTACCACACCACAGATACTTTATTTGAGCCAAGAGGTGGTGAGCACCAAGCATTCAGCACCACACCTCTCATGGGTCCAGGGACTGATGAAGTTGAAAGCCTGTTAGTGATTCACATGTTACAATCTTAAGGAACAGGATCGGCTCTTATAATGTGGCAATCTGAAGTGGCTGAAAGCCTGTTAGTGAATGAAGACTGATTCACATGTTACAGTCTTAAGGAACAGGACCGGCTCTTATAATGTGGCAATCTGAAGTGATTATCTCTGGTGGCCAGTTTGGGGAAGTTCCAACCACCTCTCCTGTCTGCCACCAGACAGGCAGCCAACTGCCAACCCTGCCCAGGAGCTGCTTCATTCCCCTAGACTCTGGGGAAAGCATAGTGGGCAAACCACACACACCAAGTCCCATAGTATTTTTAAGGGAGCTGGGGTAGAAAAGAGGTAAAGAGGGTAATTGCCTCTGGTTCTAGTAGGGCTGCCTCCAGGGGGGCCTGGGGATCTCCCGCTTTTACAACCGATCTCCTGCTGACAGAGATCAGCTCCCCTGGATAAAATGGCTGCTTTGGAGGGTGGACTCTATGGCATTGTATCATGCTGAGGCCCTTCCCCAAACCCCACCCTCTCCTGGATCCACCCCCAAAGTCTCCAGGTATTTTCCAACCCAGACCTGGCAACTCTAGGTTCTAGGCAGGGACAGCGGTAGCAGCAGTAGTAGGAAACAGAAGGGGTGGTGCCTTCAGTGGCAAAACATGAGCTGACAACTGTTCACACGTGATTCACTGCAATCCCTTTCAGCCACTTTGGGATCCTAAAAGGGAGAACAAGCCACGCCCAACTGGGCTGTGTGTCTAGAAACTTCCCCTTGGTTCTGTCTGTGCTTCTGAGAAAGAGAGAGCCCTGCTACTGCTGTGCACACTCCCTTGATGGGACCAGCACCTCCCCACTGGCTGGGAAATTTTCTTCCTTATTACCTCCGGAGTGGCTGATCTTCCACAGCACTTTGGAGGAGGCACTGACTAAAGGTACACTTTCAATCCACCCAAATAGGTAATTTTGTTTAAAAAGGAGTGTTTCATCTTCAAAAAATCAGCCAGACATAAAGTTCCTAATGTTCTCCCAGTCTGTATATTAATAGACTTTGTACCGGAAGATGAAAGTTGGCCTATGGTGTTTTAGGAAGATTGTTTCACTAAAATAATATCTATAAATTTATCTGTAATCTTCTAGGTCCTCAGGGGTTCTGGATATGCCTGATGCAGTCAGTGCCTCCAGCTTTCTCTGTAGATTCTTCACACTGTGTAATATAATTCCTGAAAGGCAATTTGTTCAGTTTTTGCCCAGTTACCATTTCCAAAATGACTGATTAATGTGCTTCACACCTTTTCCAACTGCTGGGCACAGAACAGTCAAGCGTCTTTTGACTGACAGCTTCATAGGGGGATTCTGTTTCTTCTCTAGATATTAATGTATCATTTTAAATAGAATCCCTAATTTCTATGGAGATTAATCAAATTTCCATTTTTAAATGCTAACCTTCAGCTAATTTCTGGACCTTTAATTTTTGAGTCAGCGGGGGAGGGGGGGGAATGCAGGAAATACCTGAATACCAGATAAGTAAGGGGACTGTTTTCCAAAAAGAAAGATTCTGCTAAATGTGTCAGTTCGGCAGCATGCAGATAGCACTGCTGGATGCATCACTTTGGAATGTGATTCTTGTGTTGATACGCCATTCCGATTAGCACTTATCAGCACTATGGTTGCTATCCTCCAGGTGGGGCCTGGAGATCTCCCGCTATTACAACTGATCTCCAGACAATATAGATCAGTTCCCCTGGAGAAAATGGCTGCTTTGGAGGGTGGTGGACTCTATAGCGAAGTATCCTACTGAGCCCCCCCCCAAGCCCTGCCCTCTCCAGGCTCCTCCACCTCCCAAATCTCCAGGTATTTCCCAACTCAGAGCTGGCAACCCTAATCAGCACCAAAATTTGGCACAGTTCTTGTATAGCTTTGAGACACAGGGCACACTGAATTAGTAAAGTGGACAACTGAAGAACTGTTCCCAGGAAGAAGAAGAATTACACAGGGTGTTGGATCCCACAGATTTACTCTGTGAGTAAAGGTGCTTTCCTTCAGAGGAAAGAACATTCTTCTAAGTATTTTGAGTAAGAAGACGCCTCCTTCCACTGAAGAAAACATGTCTGCTAGTATAATGAGTTCACCAGATCCAACCCAACGATTTCCATCATCCAAGAATCAATGTTCAGCACTGACTACCAGCCCAATCAAATTCAGTATACAGAGCCATACAACCAATTTAGGAAAGCTCTTTGGAACAAGTCCACCTCTGCAAAATGTTAGCAAGACAGGTAGACCTTTGGAAGGCAGTTGTGTATTGTAGGCACTACCAACGCAGATCCATGTCTTCTAGTCAGGGAGGACCGTACTTGGAATAACAGCACCACCAGAAACTAATAGGAGGACCTAAGTAGGTGTGCAGGTTGACTTTTAAATAGTTCATCTAGTTAATGTGTAATGGAAAGGAAATAATTTAGGGCAGAAATTAAGTTCATACTCCACACGTTCTTTTTATGGATGTAAAACTTCAAGTTGTCTTAGATAGCTAATGGAGAAAAGTGGTTTACAAAAAAGGAGATGAGTTACCATACCTTAATCCTTGAATATAATATCAAATACTTATGGCTGATTATTGGTTTTCCCAATATTTCAGACACTAGATGTTATAAAACATATTTTATTTAAAACATTCAGTACAAGCTGAACATTGAAAATACTGCATTATAAATTCTGAAATATCTAACCCTACGCACAGCAGGCAGTTATATAGCTGTAGATGTGTTCTTTCATGTCTGTATGCATTATTTATATTGTATGTATAAGAACCTAACTCTTAACAGCCTAACTAAAAGACTGAGCCTATGCATGTTTACTTGAAAGAAAGTCCCATTGAGTTCAATTGATTTTCTCACAAGTAAGTGC